TTAAGCAACTGCCCAGCAACTCAGTTACAGTCAGCAGAGAACACCTAAGTGGCACTGATTGTAAGGAATGAAGAAAAAAAAAAAATCAATTGTAAACTAGGCTTAGGAAAATAACTTTCAGCTGTATTAAAAGCAAGCAGTGTACTTGTGAAAAGCTTGTGAAGTGAAAGTCTTGACAGTAACATGTAACACACGCGATCTATGAGTTTTGCTCTTTCAAAGCTGTCCCTGTTGATATGTCTCCTTTTGTTCCTGTACATAATTTCATGTACATTACGGAGACTTTTTGAGGAGCAGCCTCATTAGAAACCAGGCTTTTAGAACAGCCTAATTACCAGGTACTTAACACAAGCCAGATGATGAAGTGACCACGCTGGCCTAGCGATGTGTTTACAACACACTGCTACCCTCGTTTTGATGGTATTCCTTCTAAGAGCACCCTTGCTTGAATTAAAATAATCACATAACTGTTTCTCAGCATCAGTGTATGTTTGATCTGTGCTCTGTCTTGCTGATGGTGCCACTGTTTTTTCTTTGCATGTAAATAACTTAAGTGTGCCAGCACACGCAGGTGTGTGGATACAGAGTGAAAAACCACAAAGGTACTGCTGAACGGCGAGAGCAGCAGTTACACCTTCTAGTCCGAGACATGATTTGACTGCAAACGTAGCACATCCCGGCACATCAAGGAACAGCTCCCTTTTGTGTTACCAGACCCAAATGAGCTCAGGGTGGAGATCAACGCTGCCTGTAATCTGTGCAGTACAGAACTTTGGGAAACTTAACTGCAATGTTCTCTCTTCACAGTCCGCAGACTCTTTTGGCTGGAATGAATAAGTTTTTATCTCAACTTGAAATCACTTTTAGAAGAGACCCCAACAATTACAGACCAAGAATAAACAAACTCAATTCAATCAAGGTAAGAGAGAAGCACTGTTACAGTAAAGAAGCCATGGCTGTTTCGTATAAAGCCGGGTTTTAAGATATGGAACAAAATTAAGACTAACCTGGTAGTTCTGCTCTGCTGGAAACACGTGAAAGGAGTAGTAAGGGTAATAAGGGAAGTAGAAAGGAATTGCAAGAAGTGTCTTTTATTTCAGCTATGTTCAAGTCTGCCACAGACTACTTTGAGTAACCCTGACCTTTCTTCTCTTCCCAAGGATGTGGAGCAAAAGAAGAGTGGAAACTACTTTTTCCTGGATGACTAAATATTGAACCTGAGCATCTTTGTAACTGGCATATAGAAATGCATATTGGAATCTAAACATTTGTGGATGAGAAGGCTCAATCAGGTTTTAGAACACTTAATCTTTTGGAGCTTAAAATCTCTTGCTGCATGTAACATCTGAGAGCAGTAGCAGCATAAATCCTAGTCTGAGTAAAACTGCCACTTTCTATATTTTGGTGACACAGCCCTATTTTCAGTGTAATAATTTCAAAATAGACCACCTTGAAATTGTGCACACAAGTCTCCTGATTTTTTCAAAATTTAAGGGAGGTTTTCAATTCAATATATCCTACTCCTATACCAAGTACTGACTGCACTTCCTCATTTTAAAAATCTTTGAAGCCATTTTCAGTATGAGGGAAGCTTACCAAGAATGTCAAGCTACAGAAGCAACTCCTATTTTAAAAAGGTTGAATCTCTCTGAATGAGGGTTTCATAAATAAATATCCTCCTAACCGACAGCTCTTCTGTGACATAGTGTAAAAATTCTTTAATTCAGAAGCGTGTATATTTATACAATGTTGTCACACACACCTTTTCTCATACTATAGAAAAGAACACACAAAAGATGGAGTACAAATCGTATAAAAGCAGCTATCTATACCTTCTTTAGGTATCTGTCCCTGTGTATCTTTTCAAACCTAGTTACGGGAGAATAAGACTTTATTTAGCTGATTAAAGTATTAAAATCCTTTCAATCTTCTGGAACTTAAACCTACATACTGAAGAAAGGTTAATGGCTGTTGTTTTCCAGCTTGTTCCTCCACCGGCAAGTGCTGGTACCCACCCCCTTTCCATGGAAAGATTAAATTTTTACAAGGTTAAGATGCACAAACTACTTTTGCCTAAAGCAAAAGTTTTGATCCTTAGTCTAGGCAAAAATGAGGGTAAATTAAAAAAATAGCTTGTCAAAAGTCAATTTTGATATAAAGTAAGGTCCTTCAGGGAGACAGAGGGAAAAGTGCCTATATTTAAGGGTTCCCACTTACTTGTGTGAGTTTTGCAGACGTGTAAAAATAACTTAAAGATAGCTAGCTATAGATATATCTATTCCATGCAACAGTTGTCCTGCCTTCGTTCCAAAAACATTGAGAGAAGAAGAAAACATGACTCTGTTCTTTATTTACATTTTTGCCTGCTAAGTTACAGGAGAAGGCAGTAGCTTGTCTTAATTTTTTAAGCCATTATGTGCATTAGGTAACTTGGGTATTTTGTAACCTTGGCAGTCTCAGGTGTTAGATACGCTCCACCTCGCTGTGTCTCACAGACAACAGAATCCATCTCTAGGGTGCCAGCAGAGGCACTCCGCAAAGCAGTACAGGTCCTGAACACAGCCTTGCACCACCACCACTGTGCGTTTAGGTAAAAACTTCCAAAGCCTGACTGAAACGTGCAGTCTGAGTCATGCAGATGAGTACAAATCCCTTTGGACTTGAGTTCTGTGTCTTGTGTTCATCAGTCCTCGTTAGGGTAAGGTAACGATGTGGTTTAGCAAATCCCTGAAGCTGTGCATATCAGTTCATTATATGCTATTACATCGAGTCCCCTACTAACCAGTGGGATCCTGCGACCTAAAACATCTCGGTGCGGGGTTTGGCCAAGCAATCCACAAGTCTTACAGCAGAAACAGAGGAAACTCTGCTTACCTTAGTAACAACGGAAGTGGAGAAAATCCTAAACGTTTCAGTCCTTAACTGTCCTGGAGTAGCAAGGTGGGGGACAGACCCAGCCTAAGTCCTTTAAGTCAGTTTTTAAAAGTAAACTCTGAAAGCACAGCCCTAGCAGTTACCGCCACCCCTGTCTTCCACTGTTTCCCAAGAAGTTTCTGTAGAAAGCAGACGGCCTTTGTTCTCTCAACAAAGCTCACCGTGCCCAGATGCCTGCCCTAGTACTGACCGATTATTTCGGCAACTGCCGGACAGATTGGGGCTACAACTGGAGCTGCAGTTTAGAACCTCCCAGGAAAGGTGACAAGAAGCCTCTTTTAAGTCTTTGTAAGTAGCAGAGCTATCGGCTCTTAAATCCCTCAGTGCTTGTTTAGTTCTCTACTGGAAAACCTGAAGATTGTCCCTTTCGAAATCCTGAATCCGTTTCTGAATGGAAAAGTAGATTAAAAAAAACAACAACACAAAAACCCAAAAAAACCCACAAAACCCCACCACTCCAAATAAGAGCTAGAAATCCAGTTTGCATCCTCTTTCAGTTTACAGCTTGCCTGGATACTAACGAATTGTTTATAGTTCTGCTGCTGACTACAAGCGGCTCTATCAGAACAAAACCATACATTTCATGTCATTGCAACGGTTTCAAGTATGCAAATATAATTTAGAAAGAAAGTGAAAAGACAAACATTTATTTTAAGTAGGGTTTTATACATGGCATGCATCTGAAAAGAAACTCTTTATCACCTAACTACCACTCAAGTTTCCTGACGGAGGGTGTACAACCTCGGACATGAATGGAAGGGTACCATCGCCTACTCTACTATATACAGAGATAGAAAAATATACACAACAGTTACTTTTACAGAGCAACGGAGCCGAGTGAATACTGTGCACACTGCGCTCTCCGGGTTTGGACACCTGAACATCCAAACGGCAAAGGCAACAGGAACACTGCGGAGATCACTGTCGGGGTCAGAAGAAACAGCATCAGAACTCTGACACAGTGGAAAAATATAAGGCAGAAGCCACTTTCTTCTGAATCGTAGGGAAGAGCAGAGCACACCAAGACTCTCCGTCTTGCTTTTAAAAGTAGTTCCAGCAAGAAGTTGTACATGCAAAATGTAAATTTGCATCAACAGTGCAACAACGAAAGAATACTGAACAGTAGCTCAATCATACAAACTTAAAAAAAAAGGTAATGTGTACTTTATGCATCTCTCCTCACAAAATATCTAGGATTTGTCAGTGCATTAGTGTTAAAGTGGCATTAAAAAACTTCTGCTATTATAACAGATGCAGAATTATTTTGGAAATGCATAGCATCTACATTTTTATTGTCTTTGTAATTATTCGGTTGGCATAGGCACCATTCTAGTCACACCAGCATTAAGAATTCTTGGTGGAAACAGCCATTCTTACCAATTCATACACAGCTATTCTTGACTGCTTGTCTTGATTTCGATTTCAACAAATAAATGCTTTTTAAAATTCAAAAATATACCCTATGAATATGAAAAGAACTATATACAACATACCTAAGACACAGGGTTAGCTGGCTGCCGTACGTGTAACACACTGAAGAAAAACATTCAAGTCTGACAGATTTTTTTTCCTTTTTTTTTTTTTTTTTTTTGAGATGAAAGGCCTTTGGGTTGGAAGCATATCAAAGACAACAGTGCAGTAGGCTGAGAATTCCTTTAGCTCAGTTCAGAACTAAGGCATTGTATGATAAAATATACATTTATATTTGGTGCAATGTTACCGTCAATTTTAGAATCTAGATCCCATCAAATGCTGTAATTTGTCACTCTAGTAAATGTACGTATCCGTCTTCTATCACAAACTCAAACCTTTGCGGGGGATAAAAAAAAAAATTATCACACACTAACCTACCTTGGTTTTTTCTAATTTGACAATGAGGAAAAAAATGCTAAGCCAAACAAACTCTCAACCCCAAAAAACCATACGGTAGGAGTTCACATTCTCCTAGTCTTTACTCACTGAAAGTTAAACATATCCTTGAACTTCACTAAAAAGAAAGTTTAAAATCTTAAACTGCTACTTCAAATTACTTTTTGCATTTTAAAAATTTCAATTATCCACTCATTCTACGCTTGATGCCCCCTCTGATTATCTCCCAGCATTGCCCTTCTCCTGTCATTCCTGTAGGGCCTCCCTCTGAAGTTCCGCTGATACTGGTAGCCATCATCTCTGCTTCTGCCGGGCGGTCCTTTCCAGGCTTCCTCGTTTCTTTGGAACTGGTATCCTCCCCGACTGGAATAACCCCACTCCACTCTAGGCCTTCTGCCTCCTCCGTACGTCTGGTTATAAAACTGCTTGGATCTACCACTTCTCAGCATATCGGAAACGTCACTCTCGTCTTCGGAGCTCTCCTCCTTCGTTCTCTGCGCCCTGCTTTCTGCCTGCAGATTACCAGCACCTTTGGAATCTCTACCTTTATCAGTCTTCTCCTTGCGGCTGGGAATGCTGTTTCTCAGTTCGTTTTTCTGTGGTTCTGCCAACAGCAGCGGAGTGTTGGGCACTGCTGCCTGCCTCTCAGCCCCCTGTGTTTGCGGAGAACGATTTTGCTGCCCGGCTGTTTTTTGCTTAGCAGGAGAAGGCGAAGGACAAGTTTGCTCCAACTGAGGTGGCCTAGCTGACGCTTCTTTTGGGGCACTGCACTCACTGCTGGCACCAGCCACCAGGAACGGTACGGTGTTGGAGCTGCCGCTGCTGTTAGTCTTCTGAAGCTGTTCTCCAGAGTTTACTACCGGAGGACTGCATGCTTTAGCCACGTACACATTCGCAGAGGTGTTAGCTGCTGCCTCTTTGTCCTCGGGTGACATGACAACGTTAGGTCTTGCTACTGAATTTTCAATGAAACCCTGAACTGGGTACCCATACCAGAAGTGAGGAAAGAAAGGGGGTGCTATTGGAACAGCTCCTAGAAAGGGGTTGTGTCCGAAGGGTGGCTGCGGGAACACATTTTTCCCTCTCAAGGACTCCTCGTAGTTGGCCTGAAGAGCTTGCACTGGATTCTCGGATTCTACACAGACCTGTCCTTGACTTTCGGACACCTGAGCTGTAGGTGCAATCAGAGGCAGCGAAGGAGGCCTACCGTCAACCGGGGCAATTTGACCACCGTTGGATCTGGCCTCGCTCTGAACAGGAAAGTGCCTGTTTGTTCGTGCAGTTTCGTTTTCATTCTGAGTCGGTGGAGCCTCCTGGAACCAGGGGTTGTGTGGATACACAGAAAGGGACACGTTTGGGTACATTCTACAAGCAGCTAAATAGGCCTGGTGCAGGGGGTACAAGTAAGAATGGGGGGCCCACATGGGACAGCTGTATGCCTGCAAGATACGGGGGGAAGGAAGAAAAAAAAAAAAAAGAATTTGGCCTTTGGAACGTTCAGACAGACATTAGTAACACACAGGTCATTTACTGTTTTGAAACGGTTAATTACAGGAAGGTTAATTTTACTTACAGGGACTGCCCTCAGTTCTAAATATCTAGGACTACAGGCTGATCTTTTTTGTTTTCCTTCCATACGCAGTTAAAATGGGCAATAGTTTGTAATCAGTAAGAAAACTTGGTAACAGTTTCTATATAATTTAAGCACATGATGCTATTAAGTCAAGCTTTAGCTATGCATGTGAAGACACACATTTCAAATTCATTTTCCAGAATCACAATTATTAATCAGCCGTTTGCCTACTAGCTCACTTTTCAAAATTCTAAGAGATAACAATCAAAACAACAAGTAGTCATACATGCACACATTTTCACTTAAGAAAAAAAAAAAAAAGGCTACACCGAGACCCAAAGTCTACACCGAGACCCAAAGTTAGATCATTTCCCCAAGGACTATTTCTAAAGATTGAAAAATATACATATATATATATACACACACACAGAGAACCCAGAGATCAGCTTTCTCAGAAGCCGTTTCATCAAGCAGGGGGACAGGTTTCATTAGAACACGCAGCACACTTCCCAGCTACCGGTGGGAGTCACGCAAAGGACACACACCCTCCTTTTCTGTAGCAACCTTTGCGGGGCTGCTCCTGAAGACGAGCGGCGTTCGCACTACTGAAGTCGTCCACCTCGGTGGCAGCCCCTTCCCTTCCCTCTCCTTCCACAGTAACTTAACGAGCACACGGTGGCTTACGGTTGCGTTGCTCAGAGTTAAACGCAGGCTTTGTCTTTGTAACACGGTACAAGCGGCCCACGAGCAACACTGTAGGACGTTTTTGTAGTGCAGTGTGCCAAACAGACATTTCAGGCCATCCAGAGCAGCTGGCAAGGCTGCCGGAGGTACAAGGGTAAGAAAATACTGGAGTAGTTAGAGGGCAGAGCCCAAAGCCTGGCACAGTCTTGTCTGTGCCATCTGCAGAACCAGTTCCCGGAGCAAAGCATCCTGAGAAGCCTACCCAGGCCTCCTCTCAGCAAGGACCAGTCGGTCCTCTCTGAAGGAGCGGCGGGAAGGGTGCTGATCACGGCATGGCAGGACCTGGGACCAAGGCAGGGGACAGCGTAATGCAGAAAGCAGTTCCCAGGCTCTACGTCACCGTTTGGTCACCAGCTGAGGAGCACAACTCCTAGAACATGGTACTTTGACCAGACGAGGGTGCTGGAGCACCGAGATGACACATTATATCCTAAATAACACAAAGTACCATAAGGAGAGTCCCAAATATATGTAGCCTTATGAAACAAAACGCTGCTTAAATATATTGTAGGGACACTTGCTAATGACTTACGGATTTTCTATCAAGCAAAGAGACTTGTATTAGGCACACAGTTATCAGATGTAATTTTACTCTGTAAGTCGTGCTGAACATCCCCTCCTTCCATGCACAGAAACCAAAGAAAATCATTACTTGGGGCCAAAATCACGTGGAATAAGCCTGAGAACTCTCGGCACCTTTTTCAAAGTACCTTGCCTGACAGAAGGGGTAAGAAGAAGGTTAAAAAAAAGGAACATTTTTATCTGCAGAAGGGAGAAACTAAGCAAACAACTAGTCCTTACCAAGAAAGGGAAAACATTGCCTTTTTGGGTGAGCCTCTTCCCCAACCACACACACAGATTTACACCACATAGACACATCAACCACTCTGACAATTACTTAGAAGGTTAAAAGTAAAATACTGTTGTCCTTAACCGGAGCAGAAAAGGACAGACATGCAGGTTACTTATGGGAGTGTCTGCAGGGAAAGACGTACTAGGTATTTGTACTGCAATGGCTTTGCCACTACACAAGAGACGGTCAAAGTCGGAGGGCCCTTTCTCATTTACTGTACACTGCTTCCGAAAGAACCCACTTCGAAACTCACAATGGTTGACCTGTGAATTTGTAAAGCACAATCTGTTGACTGTACAGCCACAGCTGGAAGCCAATAGCTCTCACTATCACTGTTGAGATAAAATTTATTTCTGTTGACTTGAACCGCAATGTGGACCACTGTTGGGATCCCAGTTAGTAGAAGACAAAATAAGAAAGTATTTCAAATTTAAAGAGGAACTTGAAATGTACAGCTGCAGCAACCAAACTTCTGCACTCTAAGTACTACCAAATACAAGCAAATTTTATGGTATAACAAACACAAAAACATAAGTTTGAAGAGTTACCTTCACACCAAGATTGAAGAAAAATCTAAGAATGTTCTTATCTAGGAAAAAAAAAAGAAAAAAAATCTATGAAAACTTAAAATATTACACTTAACCCAATCCAAAAATTAGTTCCTGCATAAAGTTCCATTTCAGTAGAGAAATACTGGTATTAAGTTTCTGCTTGCATTTCTTAGATTGAGTTGGTTTGGGGTTTTTGCGTGTGGGTTTTTTTGTTGTTGTTTTGTGGGTTTTTTTGTGGGTTTTTTTGCCAGAGTAAGGTACTTAGAACATAAATCCAGTTTAAATTTCAGTTTTAACCATTTGTGGAACTGAACTTCTACTTTTTAAAGAAACAGTTCAGTAAACAAACACCACCGTGCAGTCAGACATGATATGTTCTTTACAGGCATATTCCATATTTGTAGTATGCCAAAACCTGAATTTTCCCAGACCAGTAAGGAAATGCTCAACAAGTTCCAAGCTTTTGATTACAACAGAAAACCTGTTACTGTGCAAGGAAGCAGTTCTCCAAAGAAAATCTTTTATATTCACGAAGCCTCAAGTTATGGTGGGTCAAGCTCAGAACCACAAAATGATCATCTCAGATTTCCAGGTGTAACCACTTCAAATAATCACAGTGTTAGCAACGCAAACTAAAGAGTTATAACTCCATTCAATATTCCCTCCCATGCCTTAAATCATGGCATGACAACAATTAAATCTTTTGACACAGCCTAACAACAGGACCAAAGAAGTTGTCCTTATCTAAATTTTAAGAAAAGAAAACCTATTAGGAAAAAATGGTATAAAATCCAGATCATCTTCTAGCTTCTCACCTTTAGGTAAGTCTTCCCCAGTATTGCACAGGGAGTAAGAGGGTGCAACGGCTCTTTCTCCCTTTTCACTAAAAGGGAATCCAGGGTATAGCGGATCCTGATAAGGATTCAGAGTCTGAGGCAAAGGCATTAAAGGCTGGTTAACTGCTTGTAGCGACACAGGAACTCCAGCAACTGGAGCAGATGTTACCTGAGCCTGGGATACAATAGAGTCAGGTCCCGTTGCTGGGGCTGGCATCAATGAAGAAGCAGGTATTTGGGCTGGAATACCTAAGGAAAAAACACATATGCACACAGACAGACACAGATATATATATCTCTCTCTCTATCTCAACTACATACAATCACAAAAGAAAACAACAGCAGGAAAGCAAGTTCAAAAGACAGAAGAAAAAAGAAGTATTCAGGAAGACATAGGAGGAAATTCTTGAGTCGGGAAGTTACAAACGAAAAGAAGATTTGGCTAAATGCAGAGAATAGTTTTCCAAAAAAGTGAAACAGTTACACTTTCCACAAATTGCTAAACTCTTCCCATATTTATTTTTAAAATCATGAATGCCAGAAGGAAATAGGAAGAAAAAAACAAGAGGGGAACTGAAACGCATATGTGAATCTCTGTAGTTCTCATTCTGACTAGTCATTTATAGTCAACTGAATTTGAGCTCAGATTAACTGGGCTACGCATCTTCTGTCACAGACGCAGTCAAGTATGACGGGATTATTACCGTAACACGTGAACACAGTACGCTGATTTGAAAGCTGGTTCTTGTACAGAAACACAACAGTGGGAGAGAAAATATAGCACCTGATCTAAGGAGCAATACTGAATCTAAGCTAATTCCATGTATCAGAAGATAGGCACAGCACAGAAAAACCATGATACTGGCTTTGCAGCACAGGTCCAAATGGATCTCCTTAGTTCCAGACATACCAGACCCAAGCTGAGTCCTTAGTGAGTCAGGGAGCTTATTACACGGGACACAGAGCCCAAACACGTGTCAAGCTTCAACGTGCTGACAATGCGTTCTGCCTTAAGCAGATCCTCAGAATAAGCCCCCTCAAAACTCAATGCTATCCCACTCAGGAGAAAAACAGAGAACTGAGTACACATCCCTCTTCCACCTGCAGGTAGGCAGTAAAGCAAACTATATATGTGGACAACAAAAGATCTACCAGAGCTCTCACTAGCTTTCAGCAGTGAGAAACTATATTCCCATAAATGACTGCCTTTGGAACGTGAAGTTATATGAAACAGTGTCTCCTGGAGGCATCTTCAATTTAGCAAGACAGTTAAAGTATTTTTCAGGGTTAGTAGTTTCTGATTTATGTTAATATTCCTTCAAACCTGCTGGTCCATAGGTTGTTGGCTCACTTGGCCAAGCTGGCACAATGGCTGGTACAGAAGGCACTGCTGGAGGTAAATGCACCTCAGAGAAGACTGGTGAGGGTGTTGGAGCGATGCTTGGTAAGCTTTCTGTCAGGTTCTATAAAAACAAAGAGATCACATGAAATTATTCTAAATCACCATTGCTGGTGACCCCTAATGTGTCTGCCTTCTGCCAAAAAAAGGCCTGATGACTCAGAGTTATCCAGACTACCAGCATCACCATAGCAAAATATTAACTAGTAACGTATCAGGCTGTCTACATGAGAGATCTGAGACACATCACATCACTGCATGAAGAACTCTACACTGAGCTCTATCCAAAACGTGCCTGTACCACTGACGGCCATCAGTCTTATAGCCACCTCCGCAAGCATTAAGTATTTCCCATCCAAAAGAAAAGCCACCCTCACAAACAATTACCAATAACCTTGGAGAAACCTGAAAAGGCAAAGGTAAAGAATACAAAGTGAAAAGCATGGTTATCTTAGCAGAAAGATATGAAATAAATTCTCTCAGAAGAGAAAGGATATACTTTTACTCTCCTATCAAGGGTTGTCCTTTTATATTCTTTACATTGGACCCAACAGATTCCTAACTGTAAATACGAAATTTTAGCATTATCACCATAGAAGTGACTACGTAATTAAAAAGCCAGTATTGTAATACATACGTGGCTGTGATGAAGCTCCCCTTTGTCTGAAGTCTCCTGACTGGAAAACTTGGAAATCAAACAAACATTTCTTACTTGCTCAGCAAGAATCGGAGAATCTGTTTTCACTTGTTCCAAAGGAGACGAAGCTTTTGTGTAACTCTCATCTTGACTATTCTTCTAAAGCAAAGTTAGAAACAACAGACACAGCTAATCGAATAGCAAGATTCACTTTTCAAAGATATTAAACCACACTACAAAGTGGGCTAAGCACCCAACCACTATTATACTAGTCTAACATTTTGCTCATGGAAAGGACAGCAAAGGTTAAAAGCCAACAAGAGGCCACAAGTCTTCACTGAACTTCAGAGATCATGGTCTGTTAGCATAGTAGCTATTAGTAAACATCAAATCTTCTGTGGTCCCATTGTACTGAAAGTACAGACTGTACTAAGCAATTACAAATCCAGACTCGTAAGTGCTCTCGACAGCCCAGATTTGAGAACTCAGATTGCAGAGAAAGACTATAAGTATGGGTTACAGGGGCTGAGGAAAGCTGACAGCAATACAAGCCTCCAACCTTAGAAGTATTTCACTAAAAGCTGTAAAGCAGCAGCAGCAATCACAGCTCTAAAGGCAGCTATTGCTCTGCTAATCATGTATCAGAGAAGCAAGAACATTAAAAAAAAATTTGGTCTTTTCTTTAAGATTACCTCAGATGAATTTGGCTCAAGCTTCTGACTTAAGTGGGTCTGCCTGGAATTTGACTCTGTAACACCAAGACATAACCTAGTAAATGAACCATTACACCATTTATGGCTATCACAACTTAAGCCAGTTAAAAGTTTGTCTTTCCAAAGTTAAACCTTCAAAACAAAACCTACCTCAGCACATATTACTTCAGAAAACTTAAACTTCAATTTTTTTATCAAAGATCAAAGCATCCTAAAATAAACACTTGTTAGGGCAGTAACAGAGCAGCTACTTCAACCTGGGTTTTCAAAGCTCCACAGGAGTTCTTTATTGACGTTTGTTAACCATTCCGGTGATGCTCGAGGGAAGCATGAAAGAAATGTAGCTGTCTCTTTAAACACGTATCATTCATCCTAAATCCCTCCTACTGAAAAAGAAGTAAGTTTGAACTTTGCTTGAAGTGCAAATGTTTTGATCTGCATTTCCATATTCAAGTGTTAAGACAACAGAAGCCTAAAGTCTCGTCGACTTCAGACTGAGTAAAAGATGAGTTTAGATAGTTTCAATGTTCAAAAGAGTTTCAAGCTGATGCAGAAAGTTTAATTTCTTGAGCACCAGCAAACCTTTGGTGGGGAAGACAGTGTTGAAAGACAGTCATGGCATAATCTTCATATACTAAGATCTGTACACGTTCTTCACATTCTAGCTTATGTTCAAATCCGGTTACCGCTGCTTGTCATCCAAATTCATGCACATAAGTTCAACAGTAGTCACTAAACAGGTATGTACTTTTTAAAAGCTTAGTATATGCACCATCACAAATAGACAACAATGTAAATTAAAACAATATTGATTATGAGAATTAATGCCAATTCCCCAAGCACCAATAGCAATCTCTAAATTCTCAGAAGGAAGTACAGTTTCTTCCATAGGATTTTTAACCTAGTTTCAAGAGAGGCAACACAACCCAGAGCACCACAACAGAGAAAGCTGTAAATGCCATGCAATTCAGCAGCATGACACTGCAGTGAAGAGCTTTCTCTACATGAACATTCTTTTTTGGCACTGCTGAGGAAACAAGTTTTCAGATGTTTCGAGAATGAAAAATAGGTAACATCAGTTCTTGTGAAGCCATTCAAGAAGGCATTACATGTTGTAAGAGGGACTAAGGAGTGCAAGTACCATAAATGCACAACAGCAAAGCCTCTGCTGTTGCCAGAGATAAGGGAACAAAACAAAACAAAAAATAAACAAACAAACCCACAGAGGGAAGGAACAGCTTCTAAAAGGAGGCTAAAGAGTTTGAATTTTATTTAGTCAGGGGGAAAAAAAAAAAGTGGAAGAAGCCAAGACTAAATTCAGTGTTTAGTTTTGGCAAAGCTGACAGAATAAAAGAAAAAAAGGCACCCGAACTCCTGCCTCCCCAACTAGCAGTTGCATTTAGCAAAGATCTACTACCTACCGCCTGACAGCTACAGCTTTCATCTATGACTGCCAGGTTCCACTTCCTCACAGAAGAGGAAAAGCTTTGAGTCAATGAAGAGAAGCTAAAGAGCTTTATGACAGATTGGGGGGAATGGAGAAAACCCAAACAAATTTTGACCACGTGACAGCTCTTTTTAATGTAAAAAGGGGGCTTTTTCAACTCCTCTGTACACCATCTTTTCCCCTCTTTCTGCACCACGGTATGCTAATTCCTAACCATGCCACATTGAATACTTTTACCTGCTTTTCTCCTGATTCCAGTAAGCACTCTTAATACTCCTCCCACTGGCACTTTCTGCCACACTCACTAGGATTTCAATAGGATCTAGTTTAGGGTAGCTCTCATTGTCTTTTCATTTCTCTCATTCCTCTTCCCATTTACTACAAAAATCCCAGCAAGGAGCCTGCTCTCTCAACCACATTCACAAAGTAGGAAAATGTACTTTCTTCCCAAACCACACTTTTGCTACCTTGAGCCTAGCTTAGTTTGGCACTATTACTTAGGATCTAAAAACATTTATTTTTACCTTTATCTTTCTGCTCTTCCACTTCTGCTGTCCACTTGCTGTTTCTTCTCTCATTGTTTGAGAACTTTTTCTGGTTTAAATTATCCACAGTCTGTGTAGCAGCCTGACAGACTGACTGATTCTAAAAGAAGTTTACAAAAGCAGAAATATGAATTTATATAAGAAGTCTGATGACACTTTGGCATCATCTGATATGGTGGACACTAATTATTCCCAGGGGAAACTATTATGTACATGTCTTGTCTTGAACATATAAAGCACAGTAGATTGACACATTTCTACATAGAAAGTGAGTGTGAAGAAAACATCCTTAACTTTTGAATTGTGTTGTGATGCAAGGACAGAACAACAACTGCCAATTAAAGGTTCATGGACAAGTATGAAAAATGCACTAATTACACTAAAAAAAGCATACATTGGAAAGAGCAGGAAAAGCTTGTTCATCCCTCTGCTGGATCTCATAAAGTGAACGAGATTCTTCTATAGCCTGTTTCTCCCTGCGTTCCTCCGGAGACAGCCCAAAGTAGTTACAATCTCTGCTGCCATGGTTCAGATCCTCAGTTCTCTCCCGGTCTGGTTTTCTGTAAAGGAAAAAAAAAAAATTAAGTGGGATCACTTTGATACTGGTGAATTTCTTTGTCAAAGACAATACAAACTCACAGTTCAGAAGGAAGAAAGAAGATAATTATAAAGCACTGCTTATGTGATTCCACATACACCAGATCCCTTTCTGCCTACTGCAAGTTACCCATATGCACAAAATTTAAGGACGAGAACGAATGGATTTTGTCCATGATTTAATCAGTTCAATACAATTTTGAAAGACTCTGTAACAAATGGTAATTAATAGATCATAGTTAAAAAACCAAGGCCTACATCAAGTGATCTAATCTATTTCTGTGCCAACTGAGAACTCAGCACCCCCCACCTGCTATCTATAAACATGCAAGAGGAAGTTGGGGGAGAAGATTTCTGCAAATACAACAACAAAAGGGAAAATGCATTATGATTTTCAATGTCTGAAGCATCACTACACAAAATTAACATCACTCTTCCAGCTTTCTGAATTACTTAACTACACATTTTAGGATACTCATGTATTTAGGTTAAAGGGGGAAGAAAAATGCACTTAAAGCGTTGCACGTGGCAGACTCCAAAGATACTTCAGCCCCATTTCTTCCCCAAGGTGTTACGATACAGAAGAGTGGCAGAATAGACCATGAAGAGTTTGGGTTAGAACAGCCTTTTAGACAGGATAGAAGAGCGGCAACAATGACAACAGAAACTCTGCTGCAGTACCACAATGAATCAAAAAATCACTACCAACAAATGCAAGCAAAATGCTGTTCTCGTACTCTTCAAGTGATCAGTCATAACACGAAGCAGTCCTCTATGGCAGGTTCTGCAGAAGCTGAGGGAAGATCTCAGCCATGCCCAAGAAGCACTACACGCAACATTACTTCAGAACCCCAACGAGAAAGGAAAGAAAAAAAAAACCAAAACAAAACATCCACTTTCCATAAAGAAACTGCGGGTTTTTGTACGGTGCTTCCAGGGGAGATGCTGCCATGCAAGAAAAAAGGTGGGAGCTCATGATGGCAGTAATTTTGAAACAGATTTAAAGATAAATTAAAAAAGAATTATTTTTCCTGTGCTTGCGTGCCTTCTTACGGACTTGGAACACTTCTTAAGAATTCAATGGCAACATATTTCAAAAGAGCATGTTGGAAGCATCTGAAGGAGGCACCTGGGCTCCAAGAAGCTCAGTTAGAGTTCAAGGTAAGGAAGATGTTATTTGCAGTTTTACCTTGCAGTTTGGGAAGGATTCCTGCCTGGAGCTTTTTGCTCAGTTGAGGTCTGATGAGGTTGGGGTCCAGAACATAAGAACGGATGCTGCCTGGTTCCCACAGTATGCTGAAGTCGAGGAGGTAGTGCTGACTGGGGTTTTATTGACTTGCTCTGATTCTTTGGCCCTCTGCAATCTGCATCTGTGATAGAGACGTGAAAACAGGTTTGGGGTTTTTTTTAATCATTTTTTAAGCTCTTTGGGACAAAACATCTGACAATAAAGATTCTGCCACACAAAGACAGGTACAATCCTACCGGGCTGAGCATTCTGCCCCCATGTTGGGAAAAACTTTTTTATCTTCTTCCCTGGCACAGTGTTCCAGCCCTCCATAGGAGAGGCCTGTGGAAGAGGTTTAAGGCTCTTCAGTGAGACAGCATGCCTACAAAACAAGAAATTATGGAGGGAAAAAAATATCTTAAAGATCAGGCTGGGGCTTGCATAAATTAATACCACATGTTTACTAAGACCAATGGATCTTTCAATTTTTGAGAACATTGCATTCAAAGTCCTTTGTTCTTTATGAATACACTCAAGCAATGTGCAGAAGAACAAACCTTTTTTTTTTCTTTTTAAATAAAACTCTCTGATAAGTCAATGCAAACTTATCCAGTAAAGAATGATCAGCCATTTGTGAAGTGAATATTATAATGTCTTCAGGGCAGATAGAAAAGGAGAATGATCAGAAAAAGCAATACACTCAGAAAAACTTATCACAAGCACTGCAACAGCTGCCAAGATTGAAAAACATTATATTGGTGGTTTATATCCCAGAGCAATTAGTGCATTTTTAATTGACGATGCTGTAGGATGTCCAAGCAACTGTTTACATTATTTGAAAGACAGACATTCAAATCTATGATAGACAGTTCAAATCAGGTTAAATCTCAATTTAAAAAGGGAACAAACTGAGAGACAACCTTCAGATCTCGCAACATATTCTTTTTTTTTTTTTATAGATCGCATGAAATTAATGGGCAACTTTCTACTCCTCTCATCTACACTTGACTGAACGTGTTTCCTCTTCCCAAACTACACTCAACCGTGTTTTTTCCCCCCCAGAAGAGTTACAGAACTTACAGCAGAGCTCAAGAAGATGTCTCAAATCACACACACTCCCCAACACAACCACCACCCACCCACCCAAACAACCAAAACCACCACCATGACCACCCCAGAAAAAAAAAACAAAAACAGCCAACCAAGAACACACAAACCGCCCCCCCTGCAACCCCAACAACAACTTTAAACACTTAGTTTGTCCCAAGGAAGGGCAAAGATGACGCTGACCTAAGTAGCAAGTTGGCACTCTCTGTATGAAATCAGACAGAACTACTCAACCAACAGAGAAGCTAGGTGCTTTGATGGACCTTTTCATATTAAAAGCTTGTCACAAATCTAGCACCTAATTATTAAGCACAACAAGCAACACTTAATTAGGATGGTATCAATATGTTTAGGATTGAATCTTGTGCAAAAAAAAAAATAATTTAATAATAATATAGTTACTGGTTTACTCTGCAAGTAATATCCAGACTTTTTTTCTTTACTGCTAAGTAGTCTGAAGTGACAATCAATGCAGAACACCTTTTTCCTTATTTAGTATGTTTTCTTAACAATTTAGTGATAGTACTGCTTCAAGTAAAGAAATAGATAGACTTCAGGGGCTGAAATTAACTCCGAACTAAAAGCAGTGCTGCCATTGCCAACGTTCAGTTTGGTGCTCTTTTCCAAAAGAGATTAAGCACTTACTTTGCTCCAAGCTCTTCTACAAATACAACAACTGGCCCATTCTCTGAACAAACTTCTTGAATATGGGCATTATAAAATTTCCCATTATGGTCTAAGCGCACCTGTAAGGAAAAAGAACCAGAAAAAAAAAAGGTGCATTAGCTTCAAAGACGACAATAAGAAGATGTAACTCTTTAAAATATCAGCAATGTTAAAAACAGAACTTCTCCTCTGGGCAACAGAACACCTGAGAAATAAAGATCACATAATTCATTAAATGTATCAAAAGCAAATCTTCAATCTATATTGTTTCTTCAAAAAGTAATGAAAATACTATTTAAAAAAAAACCAAACACCAAAAACACTAGGAAGTTTGCCATCTAACACTACTTAATGAAATATGGCCTTCAGAACTACATGAGAAAAGTTAACAGTAATCAATGTATCAAGGTTTTTCAGCTTTACTGAAAACACTTTCTCTTAGAATAAAACCCAAAACTTTTCCTTGTTAAAATCCATGTAAAGTTCATTAGTAACTTTAGTGAAATTTAGTTTAATTAAGAACATAATGAACACCACTTATTGCTGAAGTTGTTCTTCAGAAAATTTTTTAAAACGACCACAAAAAGTTGTTCAGGCATGATCACAGTGTTACTTATCTGACTGACGGTCCACGTTCTTAAAATTCTGTTGTTAAATATAAAGTAAGTTTCATAACATTCTGCTACAACATTTGGTTTTCCAGTTGTATTAATTTGGTCAACTCCACTTCTCACTATTTACTTCATCTTCCCTTCCCATGTTTTTATCACATATATTTACTGTCTTGCCACATACATATAATATTTGACAAAGAGAGTATGTTAATTACCAGACTTTTCTCTACTAATAATATCTGTACCCATTAGTAACTACTACACAAGACAGCCTTACAGTTTTAAATACAAATTTTAAGCCTGTACTATTAAGCAATAAATAATCAATTCCACATCAGGGTTTTTTGTTTGGTTGGCAGGGGTAGGGTGGGGGGTTTTTGTGTGTGGTGGTTTGGGTTTTTTTTAAAGTTTAGAGATTTTTTTTCCTACAATTTATTCACTATGCTTAATTCCATTACACAAATTAAAACACAACCTGAAAGAGCCCCCATGCTGCATGATAAACCTAGCTGAATATTTTCACATGAGTATTAATAATTTTAATGATGGTCAAATGGCTAAATAGGGTTCTTTCTAGGACAAGTACCACCAGTTTAGTTAACACACTTACAGAGATCAACCTAAAATTTGAGTACTATAAAATTTTATGGCAAGTCTTTTTTCTTCTTAAGCAGCAATACATACTACAAATTTTAACAGAATTTAAAAAGCAATTGTGCAACACATTTTGAATACTTCCAGAGGAAGAATCACCCAAAATTTCAGGATCTTCAGGATCTGCAGTAACTAAAGCAAGCTGTATTCCACTATTTGAAAGTAGTAAGATTAGAACAAAGCCGATTTACAAACAGTCAACATTATCTCCAGAGTTGAACATAAATACATGGAGCCATGATGTTGGTTTCAGTCTCTCCACAGAAAAGTCTATGTGACAGCAAACACTTTAAAATTTCATTCTTCATCACGCAACTGTATGCATGCAAACATTTTATCATGCAGCAGTATGATAAAGCAAGTGCAGCCATTAGCAAAAGATGCAGTGGAGATAACGATCAGTTTTATAAAACAGACCTGCCCCACATTTTTGCACATCACAGGAATAACCAGCTAGCTTACGGAGCCCACCAAGAGAAGAACAGAGCTGAGCCTGAACCAAGTAAACCGCCCTAAATGCACCTACTTCTCACACAGAAGCTAGCACTCTACAACATTGAGCAAGGACTCACCACAGAGGCAAGTCTGCACAAATTTATTTGCATACCTAATGTTAAGGTCCACAGTCATCTTATTAAATATACTCTTGAAGTTAACCTTGTGACTTTTTAATGCAGTAAAACTGCACTGATCAGATGTTCTATTACGTACGTTTTCTATACGTATGCTGTAAGTCATGACCACCACCAGCAATTAAATGAGCATATATGCTCAGTTGAAGACACAAGCAAAGAATATTTAGAAAGCAGCAATTATATACCAAAATAGTTCAAGAGGGAAAACTGGCATCTTGAGCAAAATGTTAAAGTCTCTATAATTCAATATTACTTACTTTACATTTATCTCCAACTGAGTATTGCATGCCAGCAGCAATAGAAAAATCTTGTTTTTGCTGATCTGTAAATACATTAGCAGTAATATACTGTTAGTTTAAATACACCAAAAGAGTTACTTTCTTGATGCAGTAAAAATGCAAACCAGAAGTTCAGGCCCCAAATCTGCACACTGATCCACGTGAGGAAGACCCCACTGCCTAAACCCAAACTGCCATCTGCACCACAGTTCAAGAGGGCTTCACTTTACACATCAGCTTGCAAAAGCTGGAACTTTCAAGTATTCGGTTACTTACCCCATTTGGATTGGAGCCAAACATCGTATTCAACATTTCTGTAAACTGATGGATTGAGTGATTTAAGAACTTTTTTAGGTAAGACCAACAAGGTAGGATTCCCATTGCTCTTAAGGTGCTGTATGAAACAGAACAAAGTGCTAAATGGTCAACTACATAAAGATGTACAGTTTTCCATTTTTCAATCACAGTGTTTAACATTTAAACTGAAATATAAAGAAGCTGAATATACATAAAGCATAAAGACCTTTAAAAAAAAAATAAGTAATTCAACGGTGTTCTTTTAACCATACCAGAACAAAATTAAGAATTAAGCAGCATTAAAAAGGACACTATCCACCTTTTGGCACATCAAAAGCAAACATTACTTTTCAAAGAAATAAGTAGTTGTTAAGATATTACATGTTAAGAAAACTAGAAACTCAAGATTCTCTCATGAACATTAAACACTGAAAAATATAGCAGAGTACAAGTTATTAGGAAGAAAATAGATCTTAACATATAAATACCTTGTTGCCAGAAAGAGATTTCAATCCATTCATATCACTAACTGTTGTAGCTTTACTTCTGCAAAAGGACAGAAGTGAGTTGTGGCAATATAGTATTAATAAGGCCTGGAAATCAGGTAAGAAACATCTTAGAAGTGGATAAAAACACTGAAACTACCTCTCTCTACATGTTTTTCCACAATAAGCATACCACAGAACATCTTCATCTCTTAAAATGAAAAAGCTGCCTAAAACAACAAGTACATTCCTATATCATATAAAGCTAAAAATAAGATTTTTGGGTTTAAGTACAAGTTTCAGGAATTCTAACTTATGTGTACTTACTTAGCCATCACTTAAAAAAAAAGGGGGCAGGAGCAGGCAAGAGAAACAAAAAATTCCTCTAAAATTTTTGCAACTATGCAAGGAAAATATAGCAAGAGTAGACAAAAAAAACCCCACAGAATTCAAAACCAAAGTTAACTGGCATCAGGTACTCTAATTTACGCTTATTTTCTACACCTGGCAGCTGGAAAATTACTTTCCACAGCA